CAACGAAATTGTTGGCCGAGCCAGAGAAACGCGATATTTTTCTTCTTTCTTGTTTTTTAATCGATTCTCGCACGCTTCGCAGAGATATTTGCGCATTCGGTTTGATTAAACGAGTGGAAAAACGAACGCGATCGTGAAACGTTTTGGCCCGTGGGATAGAAATGAAAATCGTGGCGCGCAAGGACGGGGCTGACGAGGAAAGGGGGGCTAATTTAACGATTTCGGAAAAGTCGAGCATTACACTTATCGCCGGCGAGAAGAGGAGCCGTAACTTTTATAATTCAGGATCGTCTGTTTTCTCGGGCGAAATCGCGGCAGTGTACTAAGCAACTGCGTTTCAACGAGAAGAGCCGCTGCTGTTACGAGGCTGCGAACTGCTTTTACAACTCTCTCGGGACCGGAAGAATCATGGTTTCGTAAACAGTGGCCCATTTCGCCACGATGAATTCGCGTGTTTTTCATTGGGTTAAAACGCGCGCGCTCTCTCTTGCCCCCAAAAATCTATCGATGTTCCGCGTCTTGCCGCTTCGTATCGCGTAACGCAACGACGATAAATTCCTTGTCCACGATCGATTATCGATTTTCCGCGGTTATCATCGACCGCGGTTCGACTCGTACCGCAATTATAATATAATTAATCTCGTTATTTCGCAATCGATCCGGCACAAGCCTCGCCTCGTTATCTCGAACGTAATTGAAACGAAAGAAATTTCCTTTTGTTCGAGTACCCTCGCGACCTACACGCGATAATGATAATCGCGGGAACGGGAATTTAGATCGCGACACGCCAAGCTCCGCGAGGAAAAATCGGAGAATCGGAGAAGAGGCGCGGCGGTGATATCGCGATCGAAGGGCTAACTTTAGGATTAAAGTTGCGGAGCGGAAGAGATGGAAGCGTGCGCGGCAGGCTGGCTTTCGCGAAAATGCGGTAGCGGTCTAAAATAAAAGCTGGAGATTCACGGCGCAGTTGGCACACGCGTCGATTAATACTCGTATTAATAGTCTCGTATCAGAGGCCAGTGTCCGCGGCGTACACCGGAGTATGCGCTTCCAAATATTCGGCCGGAATTTTTCACATTTTGCGGCGAACGTTTCGAACGCGGCATATTAGTTACGATACACGTAACGCAAAATACCCGGCGCGGAGATATATAGTTCGATACGTGTTACGGGTTTATCGAGGAATCTTCTCGGCGCATTTGCCGTACCGTATCGTCGCATATTTTAGGTCAACGGATCTCTACCCCGTTCAACCTCCTCGCTATTTTATTCCTTACCGTTACGCGGGCAAAATTGCGAGCCACCTTCTCGGATATTTCGTCGAAATTCGCGCCAAGTGTAATTAAAACGCGGGGTGGCGCGGCTGCTCGTCTGCGTCCAACTATTGGAAATTTTTTCATTCATTCCGCCAGTCTTCCAGCCGTATGAAAATACTCTCCGCGCTTTCCCCCCCTATTCTACTGATTTTCGAACCATTTCGTATCGCGCGTATCCCGCGTATCCCGCGTATCCCGCGTATTCCTCCGCGCGTGTTCCCAGCGTCGCGGTAAACCATCATCGAGGGTCCGTTCGAGCAGACCCTCTCCGGGTCGTAATAAAAGCCGAGTGTGCTTCGCTGTTAAATTTCGTATTTACCAAAGTCGACAAAAGGCAGTCGGTGTCCTATATCTCGGAAGCATCGGTAATGCATCGACCAAGCCTATCGTTGTAGCTGCCACCGGTCGATTTACGAACGTTGAGCCGCTTCTGAAGGATTACGGTCGCGCGCATCCTCCCGTGCAATATTCACGATAATGACAGCGTGACGTAGAAATGCCGGCGAGTATTCACCGATCATGTCGCGCGCAAATAGAATACTCGACGAGCAGACTCTTCCCGACTGGTCTCGAAAAGATCCCAAGGATCTCGAGTAATTCCCGATCTATCGATTCGTGCCCGTTTTAAACGCCGCCACGCTCTTTACGCTCGTGTCCGCTCCGTGTTTTCTCCGATCGCTTTCACGCGCCCACGTTCGTTGCTTTCGTGGCGTTCGTCACGACGTCGGTCGTTTGTCGTTCGAGTCGTTATCGTTTAGCCGACGACACGCGCCAAGAAGAAGATAAAGGAAAGAAAAAAGATTGGAAACGATTATACTATGTACACGTATATTAGAGGGAATAGCACACGGTTGCGTTTCTGGTTGACGATAGCTAATTCGAAGCACCACCCACGTTATTCCAGTTGCCGAATTTACATCGCGTGGGCGTCCCCGTGCACCTGACACCGTACGTGTGTTCTCTCGTAAAATAAATTAGCACCACACGCCAGTTAACCCGGCAACGATCGTCGGCCGAAACGAACTTCTTCGTCTTCTACTCTTTCTGCCTCGATGAACGGGCCCTCTCTGGTGGAATAGTAACGTCACAGCTGCCGAAACTTAACGAACCGTTGACTGGTGACGCGTTTACCGGTGTACGCTTAATTACGGCTAATTGGACCATTATTATATCCGTTTAGCAGGGAATTATGGCCGCAATAGCCGTCGAATTCGATCGGAATTATCGGGCCGGATAACGCACCGCCGCTTTCCTCGGCACGGACGCCATTAATCTCTTCTCGAATGATCGATGTCCGATGGACGAGTGGGACCCGGGTGGAAATTCAGAAGTAATCGGGCCGTGCGGATCGCGCGTAAACGGAATGACTAAGCAAGGCGTGCATCGTTCTCGCGGAACGCGTTGAAAAATGCAGCAAGCCGAATTTCCGGGTATTTCGAAGAAAACGCGAGGGGACGATGCGAGTCTCGAAGCGAGTCTCGAAGCGAGTGACGGAGGCGAGCAGACGAGGCTGGAACTTTTTTCTGAAAGGACAATACCACGACGAGTGGAGTACGAAGCAGCCGTCTAGAGTACAGGGTTTTTCGAGGAACAGTGGCAAAGCGAAGAGTAAACGGGCAAAGAGAGCGCAAAGCACGGGGGTGCGACGAATTACTACGATCCAGCGAGCAGGCAGCACAAAGGATCGAGAGTGGCCGCGTCGTCATCTTCGAGATCCGCGGATCACGCGACTATACTACGCTCCAGTCGCGAAGCTTGATTACCTTTTCCTCGTTCGATCTACGGAATCTCGAAGCCCATAGGTTCGGAACAAAGGAAGTCTGCGAAGAAAGAGTTAATCGCGACTTGCTGGCTGTCGACGGAGCGCGAAAAAAGGGACGACCCCGCCTGTAAAATTGCAACGCGCTCCCCCTGAAAGGGTTTTAATCAGAACTGCGCGCGCGAGAGAGCAGACCTACTTTTTAGCTGGCTACCCCGGCCGAACTTGCGCGAGTCGCCTCGCGTCTGACCTTTCTATGCCGTCGAGCTGTCTGAAGGCTAGCAACAATCGCGTATTGTCCCTGCCACTTTGTTCGCGATATCAACGGCAAGAGAGTGCGAACGCGCGACGACGAGTCGTTGCCGCGATTCCGACGACAGTCTGTGCGCGTGCACCGTTAATAACGCTCGAGAAATCTTTTCGCGGATCCCTTCGCAGTCCCTTCACTGCGCCAAATGATATTGCCTTTGAATTACCTTGACACGAAACGTGTGCGGTGAAACACCCACGCGTTCCACGGCTACGACGAAGATCTCGAAACGACCGCTGATCGTGGTCGCCGTCGCCGTCGTCGTCGTTGTCGCGACCAACTCGCGGTCCGGCCACGCGTCCACGGTCGAGAAAACGAACGTACAGTCGAGGGGATAAATAACGCTAAACCAAAACGTTAGAGAGAGAGAGAGACACGACGCCTTTCATCGCGGAATCGCGGCGCCTTTTCGGTTAGAAGAAAAGCTGCGAAGGTTAGCCGCAACCTGGCTGAAATTCACCGCGCCAATAACCGCGCTCCGAATGTATTTCGTTTTCTTTGAAGTGTATTTCGGGCTTTTCGTTATACGCGACAATGGCCCGTTGCCGCTTTCTTTGCCCCATTATGCCTCTTTTGACGCTTTCGTCCTTTCTGCGCGTACGAGACGACTTTTAAGGCAGTTTCGGTCTTCGCGACGTGCAGACTCGCTCGACAATGGAAAATAGCGGGTGTTGAAAAGTAGCGCGGTAACGCGAATCGGTTTAAACTTTGCCGAAAATAACGGTAACGCGGATGTCGCGTTTCAACGGCCTATTATTTCGCCATTGCGATTTTTACGAATTTTCCCACCTTTCTTCGCTTTTTCTTTCTTCTTTTCTTTTATCGTTTCTTTTGCTTTTATTTACTTGTCCGTTTGAAGCACATGCAAGGAACACAGACGATTCGTTAATGGTTACGAAAGCCGTTGGGTTACAGGTTATCGAAAAAATAGAAAACGTAATTTGAAAGGTGCGGCGTTTGATCCACTTTGCGACTGTAATCGAGAAAATACGATAAAGTTGATCGCAAAGTCCCTTTCAGAGACACATCGTTAGCGATTCAAAGCTACCTTTGAAATCTTTCTCTCGTTCGCGTCTTTTCCCCGTTTAATCTCGAAAGACGCGCCCCTTCCGTATCGAAATCGCGAACTTTGCCAACACCGTCTAGATCCACGTTCCGTTCGGAGAGGCGAAAAGTTCGATAAAAAATGCGTTGCGTACAGAGACTTTCGAGTTTACGTCTTCTTAGATTCTAGTTGACGTTCGTGTCACGCACAAAGAGCATGCACTACAAAACAGATCTAGTGTTCCAACGGGATACTACGGGTTCACCTACACGTCGATGGCGCGCAGCCGCCTCGGTTTTCCTATTATATTATTATTATTATTATTATTATTATTATTATTATTATTATTATTGTTACTTTAATTATCACGTCCGTAAGCGAGTATAATACGGAGAAATTTGTCGGAAACGAAAAGAATGCTAAATTGGAGGGAGAAAAGTAATTACCGAGGCGACTGCGGTTTGCGCACTAGTCTCTTGGCAACCTCTAGCCTTAACGAAGCTTTCGAGACTTTTAAGAGGCTTCTAGTAATAATTCGAAAGCGTGACAAGCTGTGACACGATCACTTACCAGTTCTCCAATATGCCGACGTTCGAGAAGTTTGGCGGAAAGCTCGCGGCCGCCATCGGTGGTCGCGGCCGTACCCTGTCTGTCCTGTCACTTCCGGGACTGTTCACGGCTCTGACGCGTGGCTGTAACGAGAGAGGATCGGGTCATTAGGCTTGCGAGAATCTTTTAAAATCGCTGGGAGATTTCGGGCACGAAAGTGGGTTGCCTCGTAACGGCGAGGAGATAACCGCGCGACGAGAAATTCTCGGGGGAAAATTTCACGGATGCTCGTTAGGGAGGAGAAGAAAATCGACGGGTACAGTTAGAAGGGATGTCCGCGATACATTTTCCATTTAGCACTTGAAGCGTCGCTGGGAAATATTCGCGGAGGATGGCGTACAGCCGCGACGAGAACTCGCGCCTTCCACTCTCTTCCTTTCTCGCATTATTATCTTTCTACTTTCGGCTGGGTCCGCGTCGCACCGGCACCCGGTATCGGTAATGAACGATCTATTGTGCTGGTAGGTGCTCTTTCAGACGGCAAAAGAGACGAGGTAAGGGACGGGGAGCAACTGGAGAAAGAGAAGGAGAATGAGAACGAAAACGAGGAAGAGAGAGAGAGAGAGAGAGAGAGAGAGAGAAAGAGAGGAGATGGCATAGAAGAGGTATGAAAACGGCACTCGTTAATGGATTCCTACCAGACTCTTTCACCCGGTTTCTCCCTTTCCCTCCGTATCGGTCGGTTTCTCTCTCTTCTCGCGGCTTTCGTCCCCTCACCTACTTTCATTTTTCCTCCCCCTTTCTTTCTCGCTTTCCCTGCTGACTCGTGGTTCCTTTCTTTTCCAAGGGCCGTTTTTATCTCTGCCGTTCGCGTTTCACCCCGTTCTCTCCTACGTTTTAGCGTCGTTCCTTCTCCGACGGTCGCTGTTTTCTCTCGCTTTCCAACCGCGTCGTTTCTTTTCTCCGCTGCTGGTCGGGCTTTTAACCAGCCGAAGCAGCTAGCCGGAGAGAGTCGTTACACGTGTAAGCTCCGCTCTGACTGTACGCGCATCCCCGTTGTGTATCATTATCGCGCGGCTACCTGCCTGTCTACCGGCTACGTCGTCGGAAAAAGCCGGCTGAGCAAGATAAATAGGCAGATACGAGAGCTGGATGGATCGCTTTATTATGCTCGGTTAGCGGGTCCACCGCGAACAAGGGGGGTGTGTGCTTCTGTCGACGACAGAAACAAGGGCTGGTGTATCGTTCAAACACACGGGAAAGCACGGAGAAGAATCGCGGAAAGAGAGGTAGAGCAATCGAGATTACTACTACTAGTAGTAGTAGTAGCAGTAGCAGTAGCAGTAACAGTAGTAGTAGTAGTAGTAGTAGTGGTAGTAGTAAAAGGCCAACGACGGAAGAGTGGAAGGATGGCGGAGAGGACAAAGAAGATTATGGAAACTGTTAGCGAGGATAGAGTGGAAGATCGATTCTAGCAAAATAGAACGTACGGTGGGCAGAAAAAGCGACGAAGATGAGGAGAAAGAAGAGAAAATTGTTAGCGAGAGGAACCGCTTTCTAGGCAATGCTTCGGGCTGGTCTCGTGCGCGGTCTATTGTTCTGCGTTCGGACTCGGTCGATATCGCGTTAAAATTGTAACGAGATTCCATTTCGAAACGACCATCATCCCGACGAATCGATGTCTACCGTTGAATCGCTGGTCTTGCTGGCTTTTCCCCCTTTTTTCCCCTCTTTTCTTTTCCCTTCGTCCCTTTCCCCCGAGGTTTTATCGCCGGGTTGTTAAACGAGCAAATACAAAGAACGCGTAGAGTCACGAAATAAGAACGAAACTCGGTAAAATCGGAAGGAACGTTCGCACCGCGTTTTGTTCGATTAGCAACGACGAGAAAACGGTTCGCTCGACAGCGTTGGTCCTCGGAATCGCCCAACAGCCATTATTCGCGACAAATAAAACGGTCGTCGGTTCCTTTGCATAAATACTTTCCACGAGGGTTCGTAATTGGAGAACCTTGGGATGGATTTCACACGAGCAGTATGCAAATTCCGCGCAGGCTGGAATGCTTCTCGTCGCGATCCGAATTAACCGGCTAATGGGGAAATTATTTGGCAGATTGCTCTATTCCACGTCATAATAAATGCATCATCCCTGAGTTTCGTGAGAATTTCATCCCGTTCGTCGAGGTTGTGTTCGCGAAGGAGAATTGCCGATCCTCGATCAGCTCGGAGCAGGCATAAACGATCGAAGCGAATACCATCTCACGACAGGATTCGAACCATCCGGCTCGGATTCGCTCGATTAGGTACACGTTGAAATTTTCGGTAAAATTCCGAGTCCCTTCTAACCTGTCTGCGTCGTTGCGTAATGAGCGAAACTTTGGAAACGCGGATGCGTATCGAAACGAAAGAAAAGGGAACGAAAAAGAAAAAAGAAAAAAAGGAAAAGCAAAGGGAAGAAAAGAAAGGGGATGGGGGGAGGAAGTGGGTATTTCCGAAGATATTTTCGGGAAGGCGAAACCGATCGCCGCTGGTAAATTCGATCAAGCGAAAAGTTGCAACGGAAAAGCTGGAAAAGCTCGGAAAGCTCGGGAAGCTCGAAAAGCCGAGTTCGCATGGGTGACTGGACCGAAATCGGGGCTGGAAGGGGTTGGTGCTAATTAGCGGGAACATCGGGGAACGCTGAGAACGCGAGAAACGAGGCGACTGGATGGAGAAAGCGACAGCCACGAAATTCGTTGTCATCGATCGCCGGCATTATCTGCCGCCATTGTTTGTCGGCTCGCGCGTCGTTGATAAGGGTTGCGATTCGCGTTTCGCGGCATTATCTTTGGAGGATAGTCGGCGAAACGGGGGAAAGATTCTTTGTTTTCATCACGGTTCATCGATCGCTTTGAAACGCGCGCGCTCGACTTCCGGAATTAATTGGAGAACATTGTCCAGTCGTGGAACGCGTAGACGAGTCTTTTGGGATTCGATAGCTTTTTATCATCTGTCATTACGGATGATTCCAATAAATACGTTTTGGAAAGGTCGGAGAAACGCCGAGCGAGTTCTCCCTGGAATACTCGCACGCCGTCGTTTCCCAGGGACGCGACGAGATATCGACTCTGGACTCGACTATCCAAAGAAATATTCGCGGAAGAAGGAGGAGCGATACGCGGGATAAGGAAGAAGCGAAAAGTTTCTAGACGGTCTCCGTCGTTCGTGATGGATTCGCGGCATTCGACGCGATCTCGGGGCGATAATTCGAATTCCCCGTAACTCGGTTCGGAACTCGTTTGCGTGTATCCTCGCTGGGCCAGCAACTTCCGAAACGAACTTGCATCGATCGACCGACACACACACACACACACACGCACACACATACACACACACGCACGCGTGCGCCCGTACGAGCCCGTTTGTTCGACTGTCCGTTCTCCGGTTAATTAACATCCTCGGAGACGAGCGCGAAATCGACGCGACGATGAATTTTCGTGGATGGATGAAAAGATTGGCCGTTTGTCGTACGACGCGGGAATACAGGCGTGCACGGAGGTCGGTGAAAAATTAATCGGTTGTCACGAGAACGCACTCGAAGCCGTATAAGGCGCGTACCCTGTGGGGTACGCACACGAGGGCGCGTGCATCGTCTGGTATCGATCGGCATTCGAGAAACGAACCGTGTCTTTTGTACGATCTAGGGTAAAATTCAGCGGAAGACGGTAGAGAATGATTCAACGAATCGGGACCGTTACATCTGAAAGTTAATGTATCGCAACATCTTGATAATTCTATTCTTATTATAGACATACTGGCGTAGGAAAACTGGCAGCTACCCAAATGAAACATCTGATCGGCCCAGTTCGAAATAGACGATCCGCGGCAGATGAAAATAGCCAAATGAAAGTCTTCGAATTTCCAAATCGGTCGATTCTCGGCTATTCGCGAGAATTGTTGCGAGGTATCTCGTTAAATCGGGGAATCGCTGGAGCGAGTGACACGTTTAATCCGCGATAACCGAGGGAACTAGCCGAGAAGGTAAAACGAAGCGTAACCACACGGGAAAGACTCGGTTCGAAAGCGTAGAGCGCCGCGATGTCTGACCACGACGTCCCCTGTCTACTTACTCCGTCGCGTCACGCGACTCCCAACCATCCCCGCCGTCGCTACCACCGTCGCTACCACCGTCGCTACCACTGCCCGTCGAACCAAATACCATCGCAGACCGAGGTATCCGGGCCGAGTCGAGATTCTCGTTTCGGACCACGTTTCCACGAGATCTCTCGCGAAGACGATCGAACAGCGGCGATCCACCATCGCCTGAAGTTTGCCACGGTTTGCCACGGTTTGCCTCGGACGAGACACGGTGTTCGGAAACGAACACGTGAACGATATCTTTCGACGCGACAACGAGTAGCGTGGAGTAATACGTACCTTTGAACGCGAATATTCTTAGAGTCACGTGAGCAACTCGGTTGCTTTAACCCGCATCGGGTACGCCGTTTATGCTGATCCGTGCGAAACGAACGATATAAAGCGTCGATTATTAATTCCCGGTATCGCGGACGCGTACGATAGATCGCTATGCAACGCAGCGCGTTACACGCGAAGCGAACAGAGAGTTATTTCGGTATTACCGTGAATACGCGATTTCCATGAATTAGCGAAGGCTCATCTACGGCTCGAAGCTGTTACGAAACTGTTTTTCTCTCGACGTGGCCGACGAATCGGTAATACCGACGTGAGGTGGAAATCGGAAAATCCTTGCCCGAAATCGCGCAACTACGACGCCACTTAATTATCCAACCGTGATAAGACAATTGCGGGAAGGAAAGAATATCACGGTGACTCGTAGGAATCGAACCGGTACTTCCACTGCTAGTTCAGCAACCTTTCACCAACGGAACATTTTTGCAACCGTGCGATTATTTTCCGAGCGCGGTAAGTATACGGACCGGTTATCGAACACGTTGTCCGAGATGTAAACGCGCAAGTAACCTCTTTACGGGCTGTACGTTCTCGACTAACTGGCCTCGGTAACATAACGTTCGTACGTAATTCCTAGAATTAATTGCTAGAAAGAAGAATCGAGAAGAAAGAAAGAGCGAAAAGATTTCGCGGACGTAAAGAAAAAGATGGCGCATGCGCGCGAGATGCAATGGAC